ATATATATATATATATATGATGGCTTTTCATTTTAGCTCAGAGAGAGACAGTTGTATACAGCTCTGAGATTTTTATCCAGAAATGCCAGTTTCCACTTCTAAATAGGTAAGGTTCCTGTCAAAAGGTAAGGATTCAAAATAGCTTCCAATGGGAACAGGAGTGTAAAGAAAAGCCCCCCCTCAACTTTTTTTTTTTTTTTTTTTTTTTTTGCGGTACGCGGGCCTCTCACTGTTGTGGCCTCTCCTGTTGCGGAGCACAGGCTCCGGACGTGCAGGCTCAGCGGCCATGGCTCACGAGCCTAGCGGCTCCGTGGCATGTGGGATCTTCCCGGACCAGGGCACGAAGCCGTGTCCCCTGCATCAGCAGGCGGACTCTCAACCACTGTGCCACCAGGGAAGCCCCCCCCAATCTTATAATAACATTCCTAGCCATTTCCAGGGTCTGCTAGTGCCAGTTTATGCACTAGGAACCTTAAGAAACCTGCCCTCTGCTCTTTCCCATCACACTGCACACTGAGTGTCATCACCCACATCACAGATGAGGCAACTGAGGCTCCAAAAGTTGGATGGGCGCTCAAGATAAAACAGTGAGTGTTGAAACTGGAACTTGACCTCAGATTTGCCTAACTCCAAAGCTCTTTCTCCTGAAAATGCTTGCCTTCCAACCAAGAGCAATGAAGGGGGAAAAAAAATCAGTAAATTGAACTTCATCAAAATTAAAACTTTCATGTATCAAAAGATGTTATCAAGAAAATAAAAAGACAATCTACAGAATTGGAGAAAATATTTGCAAATCATGTCACTGATAAGAGTCTCGTATCAGGAATACATAAAGAACTCTTATAACTCAACAGCAAAAAGACAAACAACCCAATTCAAAAATTGGCAAAGGATTTGAATAAACATATCTCCAAAAAATGATATATAAATGGCCAGCCAGCACGTGAAGGGATGTTCAACATCATTAGTCACTAGGGAAATGCAAATCAAAAACACAGTGAGATACCACTTTATACCCACTAAGACGGCTAGAAATTTTAAATTAAAAAAACAAAAACAGGAAATAAATTTTGGTGAGGCTGGATTGTGCATTGCTATGCAATGCTGATGCATTGCTGATGGGACTGCAAAACGGTCTTGTGCATCGTATAAAACAGTTTGATGGTTCCTCAAAAAGTAAAACACAGACTTCACATGGCCTTTCAATCACTCCTAGGAATATACCCAAAAGAAGTGAAAATGAGTACCCAAAAAAGTACATGTACAGGGCTTCCCTGGTGGCGCAGTGGTTAAGAATCTGCCTGCCAATTCAGGCAACACAGGTGCGAGCCCTGGCCCGGGAAGATCCCACATGCTGCGGAGCAACTAAGCCCGTGCGCCACAACTACTGAGCCTGTGCTCTAGAGCTTGCGAGCCACAACTACTGAAGCCTGCGCACCCAGAGCCGGTGCTCCGCAACAAGAGAAGCCACTGCAATGAGAAGCCTGAACACTGCAACAAAGAGTAGCCCCCGCTCGCTGCAACTAGAGAAAGCCCACGCGCAGCAACGAAGACCCAATGCCGCCAAAATAAATTAAATAAATAAATTTATTTTTAAAAAAAAGTACATGCACGTACATATTCTTATTGGCACTATTTATAACAGCCAGCCCAAATGTCCATCAGTGGATGAACAGACAAAATGTGGTATATCCCCATGATGGAATATTATTCAGCCATAAAAAGGAGTAAAGTAATGATACATGCTCTGACGTGGATAAAGAAGCCAGACACAAAAGGTCATGTATGGTATGACCGCATTTATATGAAATATCCAGAATGGCTAAACCCAGAGATGGAACACAGACTGGAGGTGGCCAGGGGCTGGGGGTGGGGGAGTTACTGCTTAATGGTAAGGGGGTTTCCTTTGGAGTGATGGAAATGTTTGGGAACTAGATAAAGGTGGCAGTTACATAACACTGTGAATGTAGTAAATGATACTGAATTGTTCACTTTAAATGATTGTCTGAATAAAATAAATAAAAAGGCTCTTTCTTGCCACTCCCAAACACATGCAGTATTAATCCACTTGGGCCTAGTACTGAAGGGTCAGCCTAAATCTGTGGTTCCCAGTCGGGAGATTTTGCTTCCCAGGGGACACCTGACAATGCCTAGAGACATTTTTGGCTGTCACGATGGGGGTCGAGGAGGATGCCACTGGCATCTAGTGGGCGAGGGGTCAGGGATGCTGCTAATTTCCTACAAAGCACAGGACAGCCCCCACCACGAAGAATGATCTGGTCTGACCTGTCAACAGTCCCAGGGATCAGGTCCACTTTAGTCGTTGTCCCTGGTTAAAGGCAGCCAGTCAGATTCTATTTTGGAAATGACAGGGAACAGCAGCTTTTTGTTCCTTCTAAAGCTGACAGCATTGCTCTTCTTTCTTTTGTGAGATGCTTTCCTCTCACAGACTGTCATTCCCAACAAGGACAGACCCAGACAGCACTGCGAATGGTCATATTCCCTGGAGGATGAGAAGGGCTCCTTCAAATACTGCCCTCCCGGCCCAGTGCAAAAGGAGCCAGAGGTTTAGGTCTCTAACTGTCCTAGGAGAACAGAACACTGATAAAGAACTGGACAAGGGATACCAGAGATGATCTAAGCCCAGATATTTTTTCAGTTGTGAACCCCTTGGAAAACCGAATGAAACATATGCATCTTTTCCCTGGAAGAATTCACATATAAACAGGATTCAGTCAAAAAAGAATCCCTTCCTTTGACTGGAAGGGTGTATGGAATCTTCTGATCCCTCTGAAAGCAATGACAGTCGCCCCCAGACCAGCTCACCAGGTCCTTCCTTAGAACCTCTTTCAGTCACTGGCTAGTTACATTCATGCAGAAAATGGGTTCTTATCACACACAGACATAGAGGTATCTACCTGTTTCCCTTTCCAAATCTGGATTCAATTCTTAGAATTACTGATGGTACCCCCAATTCTTTTCATATACATTTAAATCTGTAATTGCCTCCATCTTCCTTTTAGAACCATGCAACCCCTCTTTGCCGCCTGAGAAATGACGATTATGTTCTCTTCTTTACGTAGAACACAGACCTACCAGCCTAGATGTCACATTTAAAAGACTTTTCCGGGCTTCCCTGGTGGCACAGTAGTTAAGAATCTGCCTGCCAACGCAGGCGACATGGGTTCAAGCCCTGGTCCAGCAAGATCCCATACGCCGCGGAGCAACTAAGCCTGTGCACCACAACTACTGAGCCTGCGCACCACAACTACTGAGCCTGCGCTCTAGAGCTTGTAAGCCACAACTGGCGAGGGGTCAGGGATGCTGCTAATTTCCTACAAAGCACAGGACAGCCCCCACCACGAAGAATGATCTGGTCTGACCTGTCAACAGTCCCAGGGATCAGGTCCACTTTAGTCGTTGTCCCTGGTTAAAGGCAGCCAGTCAGATTCTATTTTGGAAATGACAGGGAACAGCAGCTTTTTGTTCCTTCTAAAGCTGACAGCATTGCTCTTCTTTCTTTTGTGAGATGCTTTCCTCTCACAGACTGTCATTCCCAACAAGGACAGACCCAGACAGCACTGCGAATGGTCATATTCCCTGGAGGATGAGAAGGGCTCCTTCAAATACTGCCCTCCCGGCCCAGTGCAAAAGGAGCCAGAGGTTTAGGTCTCTAACTGTCCTAGGAGAACAGAACACTGATAAAGAACTGGACAAGGGATACCAGAGATGATCTAAGCCCAGATATTTTTTCAGTTGTGAACCCCTTGGAAAACCGAATGAAACATATGCATCTTTTCCCTGGAAGAATTCACATATAAACAGGATTCAGTCAAAAAAGAATCCCTTCCTTTGACTGGAAGGGTGTATGGAATCTTCTGATCCCTCTGAAAGCAATGACAGTCGCCCCCAGACCAGCTCACCAGGTCCTTCCTTAGAACCTCTTTCAGTCACTGGCTAGTTACATTCATGCAGAAAATGGGTTCTTATCACACACAGACATAGAGGTATCTACCTGTTTCCCTTTCCAAATCTGGATTCAATTCTTAGAATTACTGATGGTACCCCCAATTCTTTTCATATACATTTAAATCTGTAATTGCCTCCATCTTCCTTTTAGAACCATGCAACCCCTCTTTGCCGCCTGAGAAATGACGATTATGTTCTCTTCTTTACGTAGAACACAGACCTACCAGCCTAGATGTCACATTTAAAAGACTTTTCCGGGCTTCCCTGGTGGCACAGTAGTTAAGAATCTGCCTGCCAACGCAGGCGACATGGGTTCAAGCCCTGGTCCAGCAAGATCCCATACGCCGCGGAGCAACTAAGCCTGTGCACCACAACTACTGAGCCTGCGCACCACAACTACTGAGCCTGCGCTCTAGAGCTTGTAAGCCACAACTGCTGAGCCCATGTGCCACAACTACTGAAGCCCGCGCACCTAGAGCCCATGCTCCGCAACAAGAGAAGCCACCACAATGAGAAGCCCACGCACCGCAGCAAAGAGTGGCTCCCGCTCGCCACAACTAGAGAACGCCCGCGCGCAGCAATGAAGACCCAACACAGCCGTAAATAAATAAATAAATTTATAAAAATAAAAAAATAAAAGCCTTTTCCTGTACTCCGTGAATGAGCTCACCGAGGCTGCAAAATAGTGCGCAAAGCTATCATGAGGATTCCACTGCACGGCTCCAATGTCCCACTTGCTCTGGCGTGAGATCTTTCGGTGACCTTCGAAGGGGGCATCTAGACTGACGATGTATAGGAATCGGCGGCTAGGAAAACAACATCAGCATTATGAAAACAGAACAGCATTAGCACTAAGAAAAGCACATTTGGAATGACATACGGTTCGCAAGCAGTGCTCAAAAAATCCCCAGATGTACATGACGTTTATCGACTCTGAAAGGCATACAAGTGGCAAGAGTAACTCATGGCTGCTGGGCAAGCAGGAGCCATACTCCCTGTGAGATCTGTCTCTAGAGATGGTCCTCCCTCCCATATCCATGAAAGTCTGACCTCCTCCACCAGATTCAGCTCCAGCCCAGCCCTCTCCCAGGCTTTTCCAATCCCCCAGTTAGGATCATGGCTGCTTCCACACGACTCCCATGACACAGTCTGCATTTGGACTATAGCACAGCACTTATCTCTGTAGCAGAACTGCTAACGTAAACGTTCCTATCCCAAACCAACTGAGTGTTTGGGGTATGGACCATGTCTTGAATATCTTTGCATGTCCCTCATCACTAGACACAGTGCTTTGCATGCAATAAATGTGTGTAAAATTAAACACCTCGCTTATCACTTAGCCAAATAATTTGAGAAAATCTCAAATTCCTGTGCAAGTTGACTACTTGGTGATGGGAACTAAATTAACACTATCAGAAGGGGAAACAATAACCAAAAAATAATAATAATGAAAATAATAATAAGTGCCAATAATGTTCAAGGTGCCAATCAATATAAAGGATCTGAAAATGGTGATGTCCTTTGTTCACCTATTTTCCTTCTGTTTTAAGAAAAAAATCCTTGGTATGTGTATCAACCTCTTCAGCAGCCATCAGCGGTTCTTTGTTGGGGAGCGCTCCAAGCCCCCGGGAGTCGGCAAGGACAGGTGGGCTCGATAATGAAGAAAAAGATTGGGCTTCCCTGGTGGTGCAGTGCTTGAGAGTCCGCCTGCCGATGCAGGAGACGCGGGTTCGTGCCCCGTTTCGGGAAGATCCCACATGCCGCGGAGCGGCTGGGCCCGTGAGCCATGGCCACTGAGCCTGCGCGTCCGGAGCCTGTGCTCCGCAAATGGGAGAGGCCACAACAGTGAGAGGCCCGCATAACGCAAGGAAAAAAAAAAAAAAAAAAAAAAGAAAAAGATTAATTGTCCCTGCTCAGAACAGACAGGAAGTAGAAAGTAAAAATGGCATGTAGAACTCTAGCAGAAACCCTAGGAGGGATGGATTAAGAGAGAAGGGAAGCACAGGTGAGACACAAATTAAGAGAACTTCCGGGGCTTCTGAGAAAGTTGGTATAGTACAAAGACCTAGAAACTGACCTCTTCCTAAGGAATCATCTGATCCTATGGCAGGCAGGCCGGCATTTCCCATTAGAATGAAAACAGGGCAAAGGCCAAGCACTGTATATATGGCGTGTTTTTCAACAGTGGAAATCAGAGACAGTACAGGGCAAATGCAGAGCAGCAGAAGGTGGGCACTTCAGGATAAACATGCCTGATTGGACATAACATGTTTGTCTTCATCCCCCACTGAAGACCCACTAGAATAAGAGTGAAAACATAAAAGACGGAAACCCACAAAGAAAATGAGGGAGGAAACGGAGAGCCGAGAGAAAAATGGTAACTGATCTAGAGGAAAAACAACCAGCACCCAAGTGCCTGCAGAGCGAGCTGGTTCACACTGTGGAATCCAGGCCCGCAGGACCTGGAGAGGAAGAGAAACTACCTCAGAGGAGCCCTGGGCCTGGGACAAGAGGCACAGCAGGAGGTGAGCGAGAGCTGCTGTGCTCAAAACAGGGCAGGAAGTGGAGGGTGAGATCCTCAGGACTCTTCCCCTGCTCAGAACTCACAACACATGGCTTTTAGCCTTCAGATGGTGACTAATGACAGGCGGATTCTTCTCAGGAGGAAGCGAGCAGCCCAAGAAAGAACAAAAGCGAACAAAACAACAACAACACTAAAGCCCTGGAGATGATAACATCTGGGCACCCTCCAACAAAAGGGCCTAGTTCCCACCTGATCTCCCTACAGTGGATCCCACCATTGCACATGTAAACAGAGATTCCACTCACTCTTTAATATTAACAGAGAGCCCATGAGCATCAGTCACAGCAGGAAACTTGAAAGACCGAGACCAACACAGCCAAAAGGAAAAAAAGGAAATGGGCGGCACAGAGGAAAGAAGAAAACCTAGAATTAATATTCCCAGAGACATGAAAGAAGACAATTTAAAGAACAGAGAACAAGAGCTCTTGGAAGCTAAAGTTATAGTTGAAATTTTAAAACCTGACAGAAGGGTTGGGAGTTAAAGTTGAAGAAAACTCCCAGAATGCAAAGCAGTAAAGACAAAAAGACCAAAAGTTCAGAAGAGAATCCATACAGGATATCCAACATGCACTAAGAGAAGCTCCACAAAGAATGAGGAAAATTATCAAAGACATAATGCAGGAAAGTTTCTCCAAACTAAAAGACACAGACTTCCAGACTGAAAGGGCCCTCCCAGGTGCTAAAAATTATTGGTTATTTTAATCTGAATGGTGACCATATGGGTGTATATATTTGTAAATTTATTTGAGCTGTTCCCTTAAGCATATACCTTATTACACATATTTTAAAGTTCAATATAAGAAAATGAAATGGTGAACTTCAAGATCATGTTGGAAAATAATAGGGACCTATGCATGTCTAAGAACACATCAGAACAAGAACACTTGCATGATTTCCGGTTATATAATCCCATTCTCTCCTAGAATGCTACAAATGACAATATCCACATCAGTCAATACTGAGAAATCTAATGTTTGAGATACAGTTATTCCAGGGCACCTGAAAGTATTTTATGGGTTGTTAATATGGCTACATAATGCCAAGTATATGTTATTTTTCTATTTGTTTAGATAAAACAGGTAATAATGTCAAAAAGGGGAGGAGGGTCCCTCTAAGTGCCCAGCACAATGAATGAAAAAAGACACATACCAAAGCAGTCACAGTGAAAATTGCACACACACAAGAGGTAAAGATAACACTAGGGATAAAGATGGAATTTCTCCAAAGAGAAAAAATAGGTCACATACAGAGTCCAGAATCAGAATGGCATAGGACCTCTTGACAATAACTCTAAGAACCCCAAATACTGATTTAACCCAACAATTGTTAATGACTACATTGGAAGGAGGGGGAAGGCCAGGTATATATACATAAGGGACTCACAACAGAAGTAAAAGTGCTAAATATTCATCATCTACTGTAAGAAGTCAATTTGAATACCTATGATGGATAAATCAAGATACAGCAGTATATGTAGTATACCACTTGGGAAAACAGAAGCAATCCAAAACAAATAGCTAAAGAGTCTTAACTGGTTGCCTCTGGTGAGTGAGATCAGGGTAGGGAAAAAGGTGAGGTGGGGGGCTTCCCTGGTGGTGCAGTGGTTAAGAATCCACCTGCCAATGCAGGGGACACGGGTTCGATCGCTGGCCCGTTAAGACCCATATGCTGTGGAGCAACTAAGCCCATGCGCCACAACTACTGAGCCCGCGCTCTAGAGCCCATGCTGTGCAACAAGTGAAGCCACGACAGTGAGAAGCCTGCACACCCCAAGGAAGAGTAGCCCCTGCTTGCCTCAACTAGGGAAAGCCCATGCACAGCAATGAAGACCCAACACAGCCAAAAATAAAAAAACAAATTAATTAATTAATTTTAAAAAAAAAAGGTGAGGTGGGATTCTGCTGACTGACAATATAAGCCTTGTAATGTTACTTGACTTTTCAAACTATATATAGGCATTTCCTTGATTTTTTTTTTTAAAAAAAAGAGGTTTAAAAACTGACTAGGAAATTAATAACAAATACCAAAAAACCATTGACTTGTACATTTAAATGGGTGAATTGGGGCTTCCCTGGTGGCGCAGTGGTTAAGAATCTGCCTGCCAATGCAGGGGACATGGGTTTGAGCCCTGGTCCGGGAAGATCCCACATGCCGCGGAGCAACTAAGCCCGTGCGCCACAACTACTGAGCCTGCGCTCTAGAGCCCGCGAGCCACGACTACTGAGCCCACATGCCACAACTACTGAAGCCCGCACACCTAGAGCCCATGCTGCACGACAAGAGAAGCCACCACAGTGAGAAGCCCACGCACCGCAATGAAGACTAGCCCCTGCTCACCGCAACTAGACAAACCCCACGCACAGCAACGAAGACCCAATGCAGCCAAAAATAAATAAAATAAATATATTTTTTAAAAAGGGTGAATTGCATGGTATGTGAATTATATCTCGATAAAGCTATTTTTTAAAAAAGTGAGTTTGGCTGGGGCAGAAAAGAGACATACCAATTTTTCCTATCTATGTATTCAGGGTGACACAAGAAAATGGTATCGATAACTGTCTCTGGGGAGGGGAGTCAGAGGTAGGAGGGTAACTTACTTTCCATGGTATATCCTTCTGAATTAATGTTTGCTATGGTTTCATTTAAAAGTAATTTAAAACATGATTTCAAAATAAAATAATGAAGTTAATAGAAAACACTTCATTTTATAAATGGGTTCATAAACAACTAAGTTAATGAACATATAGCTAAATCTGAGAGGTAGTAATCTACAGCAACATGAAAGGAAAGGGACTCTGACCATTAAATGTTATCATACTGGTACAATGTTAGGATGATTAGCAAATGCAGGGACCTTAATTGCCAGAATCTTAATTTTGAACCAGAAGACACTACAGAAATTATGTAGTTCAACTGCTTCATGATGAAATCGAATTGCTTCATGAGAAAACCGAAGTCCAGGGAGGCCAACTGAATAAATGTCCAGGGGCTCATAATCAATGGCCAAACTGTAACCCAGATCCTCTCAATCCTAGGAACTAACTACCTGTTAGACGGTACCAGACAGCACCCTTCTCAAGAGTCCATGCACTAAAGAGAAAATGGCAATTTCAAGACCAAACTACCAGTCACTAACATTTCAAAGGAATTTTATTGCTCACCTGTTAGGGCAGAGAAAAAATAAACTGCAAATAATCCCTACAACTACCACTGAGGTCACTAGGACAGCAGAACTAAACCCTATGACCATAATCCTTAAATATGAAAGTATTTTCCAATTTCCCAGAAACCTCTTGATTTGCAATTTGTTCCCAGAAATCGTGGCAGACGAACTCTGTAAGCTCACTTACCCGGAAAGCACTGCATGCTGCCCCAGACAGTCCACAGACATTGCAGTTGCCTGTGAGAGAGAACACAGATTCAGTTCTGCCAGCAAAGCCAGCTCAGGTTAGAGAAGACAGGCAGGTAGACACCTGTGGGTCTTCCTCTTCCCATGGCCCAGGCAGTCCCCAGCTGGCAGTTCTCTACAGTGGATACTTTAACCCCCTTCTAATTCTCATTCAAATCTCACATTCACCTTCCACAATAGGGCAGCAGTTGTCTGTTCCCCCTGAGACCAGGGCTACACACAATCTAACCTGGGACATCTCTCTCTCTCTCTCTCTCTCTCTCTCTCTCTCCCCCCCCCCCCCTCTCTCTCTCTCTCTCTCTCTCTCTCTCTCTCTCACACACACACACACACACACACAGATATACACACACCATCCACGCCTTCCCAAAGGGCATGGACTCCTCCTCCAAGCCGAATGGCAATTGGTAATATTCAAACACCACCTCTGCTGAATCCACGGTCACATTCTTGTCATTGAGATGCCCAGTTCCCATTTAATCTGAGATTTCCAGCACATTTTACTGCCTTCCATTTCCCAGGTCTCCCAGTTCCTAGGGATCACCATCTTTTCAGGATCTGATGTCCAATTTCCCAAAGACCACACTAAACCAAATAAATCTACATTCAGGCTGGAGCGTGAGGCTAATTTTAATCATGGTAGTTATAGCCCTAAATTCTCTTATTTGGACAAGTTCAAGTCCTGCTGTATTCTCAGGGCATTATCTGAAACAGTTTGTGCCGTTGTTTGGTTATTAAATGCTCTAAGTTCTTTCCAAGAGTCTATCAAGAGAGAATGCATTTTGTACATTCTGCTACACTCACAAATCACAAATGGTAAACAGAAATTCTCTTCCTCACTCTCGCTGGTCTTATTAATGGGTTTCTCACTTGTACACCCTCAAGAGACATGTCACAGGTAACATTAGGGACAAGAAGCCAGAGTGCTTTCACTGGAGGCTGAAAAGGGATTATTATGCATCCTTCATTCCACTAGAGTCGTGAGCAGAGAATAGCCCAGCTGGAAAAGCAGGCAGTGAAATAAGATGCCATTTCCAGAACTCTTCTGTGCAATGTATACATTAAGGGTATGAAAGAGGGCAAGATGGTACCTCCAACCAGGGGCGGTACCATCTTTCTAGAGGGTGTGTGGTAGCAAGAATCCTAAGGTGGCCCCAAGATTCTGGGCCCTTGGTGTACATACACATTCTCCCCATTATTCAAACACTAAGCTAGGTACTGCTATAAACGGATTTTGAGATGTAATTAAAGTCCCAAATAGTTAACCCTAAGAAAAAGTGACCCAGAACAACCCAAATGCCCATCAGCTGATGAATGAACAAACAAAACATGGTATATACACACAATTGCATACATGCTACAGCATGAATGAACCTTGAAAACATTATGCTAAGTGAAATGTCAGACAAAAAAGGATAAATACTGCATGATTCCACTTATATGAGGTGTCTAGACTAGGTAAATTCATAGAAACAGCAAGTACAGTAGAGGTTGCCAGGGGCTGGGGGTGTGGGGTGTTATTGTTTAATGAGTATGGAGTTTCCGTTTGAGATGACGAAAAATTTCTTGGGGGAGGGAGGAGGGGGAGATAGAGAGACCTAATCACATCAACCCTTTAAAGCTAAGTCTAGAGGTCAGAGACAGAGGAAGTCAGAGATTTGAAGGGTGAGGGATTGATTCAACATGGAGAAGACTCTTTGTTGCCGGCTGTGAAGATGGACAGACCACATGGCAGAAACTGAGTGACCTCTAAATAACAATCAGCAAAAAACCAGGGACCTCTGTCCTATAACCCTCAGGAACCGAATTCTTCCAACAACCTGAATGAGTTTGTTAGCACATTCTTCCCTAGTCAGCTAAGCCTCCTGACGAGAACACAGCCAACCGACGCCTGGATTTCAGCCTATGAGACTGAAGAGAGAAAGCAGCCAGGCAGAGCCTGGATTTCTGACCTACAGTACTGTGAGCTAATAAGTGGGTGGTGCTTCAAGCTGCTAAGTTTGTGGTATGGTGACAATAAAGGATGATCTGGTAATAATACCCCCCAAAAAAGTCACGCTGTCATTTTGTCTTTTTTTTTTTTTTTGGCCACACTGCACGGCATGCAGGATCTTAGTTCCCTGACCAGGGATCAGACCCATGTCCCTGCAGTGGAAGCGTGAAGTTCCAACCACTGGACCACCAGGAACTCCCCTAAAGTCATGTCCTTTGACTCAGTAATTCCACCTCCAGAATCTATCCAAAATACAGCAAAACTTTCATACACAGAGTTGTTGAATTCATGTTATCTATAAGTAAATTATAGATATCTATACAATGAAATGTTCTAGAAGCATTAAAGAATGACACAGAAAAATGCAGGAGCCTGCAATTAGAGTATCATAACTCACCATATCACCTTATCAGAGCAAGTTATTTTTTAAGAAGTAAAACAAAAAAACCCACACCTAACTGATATTTCCCTACTCCTATCCCAGAAAGAAAGAGGCCAACATTATGCTTGCAGGAGCACATGAAGGAGGGTTTGCTAGGCTGTCCCAAAGGGGGAAATGGAGAGAGGGAAGTGCTTTAAGCAAAGGACATAAAAATAAACTGACCAGAGTAAAAGATGGTGCTTTGTCAGGGACAAGAATCCCCCTGGAAAGGCCTCAGCACCCTCAGTGCACCCGATGGGGAACGGCTGAGAGATGCTAAGTCTGGGCATCAGGGGTGAAGAACCATAGGGTTCTTGTATTATCCTACTGCAAAGAGAGGAAGGGAGCCCCATAGTGATCGAGAGAGAACCTCCCACCAGCCTGCAGGCAGAGCCCTGCTGCAGATTAAAGACAACTTAGAGGAGTACAGGAGTGGTATTTCATTCCCTACTATGAACTAAAATTTAAATCTGCTACTTAGCCTGAAAAAAGTATCCCAAAATGTTTAGATGGTAGTTGTTCCTATGGGATTTTAATTTTATTCCTCTAAATGAGTCTACATTTTTGTATTATTTCTATATTTGCATTATTTTATAATAAAAAGCACTTTCTTTCCAAGGCTCCTCCCAACTCTCTTCTCTTTCCACTCCTCTCATCTAGGCCTGAGACTTGGTCTACAGCAACAACCTCCCAACAGTCTACCTTCCTCTCTCCAGTCTCCATTCAACCTAACACTGAACCTCTGAAGGCAGAGTTCTAATTATACCAATCCACTGCTCTCAAACCTTTGTTGGTTTTTCTCACTCTGAATAAAATCAAGCATAGACTCCTCAGCCTTCAGGTCCTTACAAATCAGACACTCACAGAATTTCTCAGGCTGACCCACTCTCTACCTGCTCAAGCCACACCCATTCACGGCACTCACCCAATTCTGCAACGCTCCCAATTCTGAAGAGATGCTTAAGCTCTTCCTTCCGCCTAGTAAGTCCTTCTCTCCTACTCTGCTGTTGAAATTCTACTCTACTCAACTTTTAAGGCTCAAGAAGCTCACCCAGCGTCCACCAAGGGGACTCCACCTTCTCCCAAAGTACCTTCCCTGCCCCTCCATCACAGGACTTGCTTTAACTTGCTTTGTGGTACAGTGAGTCCCCTGCACATGAATGAGTTCCATTCTGAGAGCAAGTTTGCAAGTCCAATCTGTTCATAAGTCCAACCAAGTTAGCCTAGGTACCCAACTAACACAATCGGCTATATAGTACTGTACTGTAAAAGATTTATAATACTTTTCACACAAATAATACATAAAAAAACAAACAAACAAAAAATAGAGACAACATTTTTAATCTTACAGTACAGTACCTTGAAAAGTACAGTAGTACAGTACAACAGCTGGCATACAGGGGCTGGCATCGAGGGAACAGGCAAGAAGAGTTACTGACTGGAGGAGGGAGAGGAGGTGGGAGATGGTAGAGCTGAAGGATCGCCAGCAATAGGAGACGGAGGGCAAGCTGCAGTTTCACTCACGCCTGATGTAGATGGAACACACGTTCACATCTTTGAAAGTTCGCAACTTGAAGGTTCGTTTGTAGGGGACTTACTGTAGTTACTGCTGTGCACACTGATCCTCTCCCACGAGCTGTGAGCCCCTGCAGGTGAGGGTCTATTTCATTTCTCCCAGAGCTCCCAATGAGGTGCTTTGTGAATGCAGTCACTCTGCACACATCTGACAGTTTTGAAGATGGGTCAGAACCAGGTGAAAATCAGGGTCCTCCCAGCTCGGAATGTGTCAAGACATCTCAAAGAATTTTTTTCAGTAGTTTCCCTTGCTAATTTATCACCCATGAATTTATCTATACTTCTCCAGTTCCCTCACTTTTTTAATACCTCCTAGGATAATGAACTTTGATAGTTCATTGCCTGCTGTGGGAAACCTATTGGAATAGAGAGAACTGACGAGCAAAGTTTGTGTACCTTATCCCCACATTTTATGATGTAAAATTCCAATCATACCTTTTCTGAACCTTTGTTTTTAGAAATTGAAAATTCCTCTCCCGCCTGCAGGAAACAAACTTATGTTCAGAAATGCTCCCTGTCAAGGTGACATCTTTAGACAAAAGAGAATAAAGTTCTTTACAGCCCTGTACTTTCTGCAGGATGGTGGCCTTTGCAGCACACTTTAGGAGTCATATGACCTCTACAAAATAAGACTGCCATAGCACTGACAGTGACGGTTGATTCTTACTGGCCTAGAGAAAATGTAATTCATAATGTGGAAAAGAAAAGCTAACTGATGGCTGATAAAAGATACCATTTCATGAGACTCTGTGAGCCTCTGTACACAAATTGCTGCTGCCCTTGTTCAAAAAAATCATTTTTTCATGAAGGCTGCTGTGTTCTTAAGCATTTGGTTTCACCAATCCAAAGAAACTGACTGCGTGGCGTCAAAAGGAAGAAAGTTTCTACATGGCATTTCTGCAGACATAAAACACAGTTCACCTGGTACAACAGAAAGGATGTGCATGGGCTTTATGTCAGACTGGATTCAGAACCCTCTTCTAGCACCTCTCCGGTGGACAA